CTGGCTGGGGAATTCTGGGAGTTGAAGTCCACACGTCTTAAAGCTGCCAAGTTTGAAAAACACTGATCTAGCCCCAATATTCTGATCTAAAATGAGGCTCTGCAGAGTACCGGGAGGGGCAGAGCCCTTCTCGAGGATCTCTACACTGGAGGTGCTGCGGGCCGAATTTAGGGCCCGCTGGGTCCAAAGCAGGTGCTTCCCTTCTGAGCCATTCTTTTGCCTCCCCGTATTTCTTCCTCCAAAGACCTAAGCGCGCATCCCCGGAGAGGGTGCCGTTTCCAAGAACGGCGCAGCAGGTAGTTCAACCGGTGCGGCTGCACGCCCTTGCCCCTTCGAGAAAAGTTTGATCTAAAGGACGACGCCCTCAATCTCTTCGAACATGCGCAAAGCGGGGGGAAAGGGAAATAATAGGCAGCGCTTGACTCCCCCCCACCCGGGGGTTTCCCACCGTGCAGCAGAGGCCTCCGCCCCCTCTCGGAGCTCCGTCCATCCCGGCGTAGGGGAAAAAAAAAATGGCCCACCCGGACCACTTTGAAGGGCACACACAACTACTCCATCCCGGAAGGCGAGGACTTCCCTGCCGCTCTAGCCCTCCTGCCGCTGGGAGACGGTCATGCGCAGTCGACGCCGTCGAAGTCCCTCCTCCTACGCGAGCGCGGCCCGGAACTGGAGCCGGCAGCCTAGCGCTCCGCCCGGACCTCGATCGGCGCCGCACCGCGCGGTTGCCATGGCGACTCTGAAAGCCGCTTTCGGGTCGGGCGGCGGCGGCTCCTCGGTTCCCCGCCATGGCCTCGAGCGCGTCGCCTCCCGAGCGCCCACTGTACGCCCTCGAGGACACGCGAATGATGGCTCAGCAGCTGCACGAGCAGTACCAGCGCATCATGACGCCGCTGTCCCTCTTCCCCACCAGTTACACCAAAGTGAAGCCCTCGTCGTCCCACTTGGCGCTCAGCCCGCCCAGCCAGGAGGAGGTGCCTGTGCCCATCTCCCTTTCTGCCCTCCTGCAGCTGGTGCGGGCCCGGCTGCAGCCGGGGCCTCAGGAGGCACGCGCCCACCCTCAGCACCTGCGGGCCTTCCGAGACATCATCCTGACTGAGGTCAAGCACGCCTTCAAGGACCTCCAGCGTCTGTTGCACGACCCGGCCTTCAGCGCCGACACGAACCGGGAGCTCTACCAGCACCTGCTGACCTACATCGGCCTGGTGAGCAAGCACCTCTTCCGGCACTATGTGGGCCTCATGGAGTGCTGCCGGCTACGGGGCATCTTCACCGACTGTGCCAACCTCATTCGCTTCTCTGCCCAGCTCTCCCTGGACTGCTCCAAATTTCTCAACGTGGCAGATGTCCGGCAGCGCCTGGTATGGGAGATGAAGAAGCTGACGGACCACCAGCTGGATTCGCTTGCAAAATCCTCTAGCCCCTTTGGCCCGATGACCACCCGTGCCCTGGGCTCCCGCCTGGGTATCACCATCTGCTACTTCATCAGGCATATCCGACCCCACGTGCTAACGGAGAAAGAAAAGATCGCCCAGGATGTGAAGGAGCTCGAGGAGTTACCCTTGTTGGACATGAGTAAAATAAAAAAGTTAAACCTACCAACCCCAAGGAAGGTTAACTTCCTGGAGCAAATGAGCTGTGCTGCTGTCACAACCCCTTGTTTCTACAGTGCCTCCGGTGTCAGGTCAAGGTCTCAGCAGTTTAGACCAAGTACTGTCTTTCTTAGGAGCCAGTCACTGCCCAATATGAGAGTAGGGAAGCTTTTAGCCGACGAACTAGGTATCCATTTAACCCCTCGCCGTATCACCCCTGATCTGCTTTGTTGCTACACTGAATCCCCTGAAGATGTTGAATTCAGGGGTCCTGAAGCCCTGGCTGAAGACCTTCAGAGGCTGGTTCAGGGCTCCATCTTGGAGAATAGTCAGTGGAAAGGAGAGCAGGATAATGATCTAGATCTCCCTCCCCTCATCAAAGCTTTGACGTGGAGCAAAGCAAATGAGACTCGCCAGCTGCAGCTCCAGAGAATGCTTCAGTCCCTGCAACAGGAGGAGCGTTTTGAGATGAAGCGGAGAAACACCATAATTGCTGCCCCAGCCTCTCATCCACAGGCAACAACAGTAAATGTCAAAGTCCATGATGGGATGGTGGTAAAGGCAGCTGATCTGCAGGTGTCTGAAAGACACTATTCAGAAACTGTGACTATGGACAGATCTTTACCAATTTACAACCATCTCCTGGGTGAGATAAGTCCTGCTACCATGAAGTCACTGGATGCAAATCTTTACACTGGAGAAGACGTCAAGGAGATATACAAGGAACTGATGAACACTATTCCTAAGGACCACTTGAAGTTTGACCAAGGGCCCTTGATAGAGTTACCTGCTGCTACGCTAGATCGTCATTCCTGCTTTGCTTCCTCAACGCTGACTAAGAAAAAAAATGAGCAGATAATTAATACAGAGCTCAGTAAAATTCTCCCAGCTGGGCCATTCATTCCAGAGGAAGTTGTAGACTCACCACAAACCGCAAGTCTACCAAGGAAGAAGTTAGCTTCAAAACAATATGCCTCTTGGCTCAAATGGTGGAAAGCCACATTTAGCACTGATGAATACTTGAAATACATCAGTAACAGTGATTCTGACTATTTACCAGTAATATTTCATTTGTACAACCCTAAAGAGGACAACGAGGATGTGATGGAGAAAGATGTTCAGTCTATGTTAAATGAAGCTGAAGTAAAGAAACAAAAAGGGAAGAGAAAAGAGCTAAAAGCTGCCGAGCTTCAATCTCAAAAAGAACAATTTCACACCGGATTTTGGAATACTACTAATGTCAGGTTGGAAGGACCGGAAGCTTTGCTTACTTGTGACCATAAGCTTGAAGATCTCAGTGTCCTACAGAGGAGACTGGAAAGGCTGTGGACAGTTCTTCATTTCTCTGAACGGGAAAGGCTGGATATGGCCATCAAGTACAGTTCCAACCAGTATTACTTCTTGCTTCCAGACATGCTGAATTCTTGGGAAATAGCTGCACAGCTGATCCAAGACAGGGAGCTCCTGCTGGCTGAAATAGAAGAGTTTGAGCAAACTGCTTCAGATCCTAACCGCTTATTCAGCAAGGAGCAAGGTTCATTTGCCACCAGAATACAAGAGTCAAAAATCAGAAGCCACTTGAGTTTCGAGTTGGACCAGTACAATCTAGAGCTCCATATTATCCTGAAACACATCAAAGATGCCTTCAATGATACAGTGACTTTCAAGGGTCGCCCGTACCTCGATAAAATGGAGCGAGACATAGTGGAGATGCTTTATTGGCTGCAGCAAGAGCGTCGGGCCATAGTTTTGAAGAGAGCAGTCCAGAAAGGGAGCCAGAGAAGACTTTCCCCTCTTCCTTAGATTGGCATCACTGTCCAGTGAATGTTTGGTGCTTCAGAAGCACACAGAGACCCCTTTTGTGCCCCTGCATCAGATTCCTCCATCTGCTATTTCCCTCCCCCCACCCCAAGTTTCTAAGGCAGAGAAAAATGGAGGTGGTGTCAGCTGTCTGTTAAGATCCCTTTTCTTCTGTTATGGAAAAGCCAAAGGAGATTTTTCAGAAGGGATGAGCCGGAGGTCTGCAGGAAGACAGAACGTGGTTGGAGGCAAATAGCAATATCCTGCCAAACACACGGCCTCACAAAGAGTAGCAAAACTGCAGTTGGGAGTTTGTGAGGTTTGCCTTACTTGCAAATATAACCTGCTGAAGGATTTGCAATTGCTGAGAAATTTCTCTTTAATTGAAAAATAGGTTTCTGGTCCTCATGGCTTTAAAGCAGTAGCAGCAATTTTAAATGGTACCAACCTCTAGGGCAGATATGGCTTACACACCCATGTTGGGCCGGTCTGGTCTCATATCCTTGTTTTCTTTTTTCATTAACATCGTCCTATCTCCTTTCTCTGCTGCCAGTAGGATACTGGCTGCTACTGTTAAGCAGTGCCTTGTCGGATCGTCCAGAATTTAATTGCTGACCACCAATCAGTCCTGGAAAAGCTCCAAAGCACGATTCCTTTCCTCAGCATAGTGCACAAAAATGTCCCATAATGCACGCACCAAACCCTGCTGCCCACTTCTCCAGCACCAGATGATCTTGCAAAGGCCGCATCCAGCAGCATACGTGTCCCCAACACAGCCTTTCTCCTCCCATTCACACCAAGGTAAGGACAAACTGTTGGGCGCAACTTGCACTGGCATCCTAGGGGAATGAAGGGACAATGATAGGCTCATATTCGTAAATGCAGGAGGACTCACTAAGGAGTAGGCATTGAAAAATAAGGGGAAGGTCTGAAGGGGAGGAAGAGTAATACTTCCGCCCTGGGCTCTTCAACTTGAATGTTTAAAAAAAACAGCTGGCTTTTGCAGAACACCACTTCAGACAACAAGAAAAGGGTTTGGAACAGAAACCAGCTCTCCCCCTGCAAAACAGCTGCCAGTTGTTGGACTGGAGAAAACTGCCTTGCACTGAGTCAGACACCAAGTGCTGATGGGCGTTGCGTTCCAAGGTGTCAACCAGCATCTTTTCACGTTGTATTCTGCAGGTGCAGAGGATCAAACCTGTGATTTTTGTATGAAACCATAGGCTCCGATATGAAGCTGCACCCTTCCTGCCATGCTGCACTGTGGCTCTGTTCACACAACATGTTTAGCTTGATTGCTTACCTCACCCATTTTCTGTGTCACATTGAGTCAGAAATTAACCAAACAAACTGGGCTCACACAAAAAGCCATGCTACAAAAAAATAATAATCCTCCAACAGCAGGTTAAAATAAAAAATAATAAATATTTGCATGTTGTATGAATACAGTTGCCAGGTCCTTTAAATGACTTGGCTGCCCATGTGGCGTGAACCAGGGAAACAATGGTTTGGTTTACATATCAGTCATCTATGATTTAGTGAATGGATGGAAAGCTGTTAAGGCCGACACTCCCAGAAGCAACTCACATAATGTACACAGAATGCAATGGGTTTGCCCTATACGCTGAACCAAGTCAGTTCAAGACGTAGCTGCCTTTGCATATGCTAAGTGTGGTCAGTGGTAACCTTGGTTAGTTTCTGGCTTGTTGGCCAAACTCAGTTCATTTCGTTGGGTACAGTGTGTTGCGTGAACCCAGAAAGCAGGTTAATTCACTTTGTTGAGAATCTGAAGTAAGTGTAGGCACCCTGGCCAGCCATAAAGTAAATCTTCAAGGGGCTCAACAGATTCTCTTTATTTCAGAGACTCAGCCGCATGTATTACTACTTTCTCATGTTTACCACACCATTAGTTTGCAGGATATTTTACGGAACCTGTGTCTCAATGGATTTAGAGTCTAGAATTGGACAAGGAAAGCAATAGAAAAGATGGATACAGGAGTAAACAGACGCAATATGCAGAGTCCTTTGCTGTTATCTGGGATTATTTATTCACTTGAAACCTGATATGGAATGAAGCTGATCTGAATCATTTCCAAGGATTCTAGGGTGGTTATTTTTAAGGACTTATGAATAAATGGCTGCTTTCTGCCACTTCTGTCTTGTAGAGATGTGGTGTAGCTCACCTTACCCTAGAGTGGGCATGCAGTCAGGTTCCCAATGGTCTGAAGGACAACTAAAGCTGGAAAAAATGTATAATGTCTGATTCTAGATATTTCTCCCTCTCCACATTCTCAGAGGCATTGCACTTGCTTACTGATCACAGATTTGGTTTAATTGGCAGTTGGTTGCTTTCTCTGGTCATAAAAAAGGCAACTGTCTGGGAGATGGGGTGTACCCATCACGGTAGAAGCGGCAGACTGGATGCTAACACCAATCTTGTTCCAAGAATTCAGATTCACATCCCTTTTTTGTACTTGAGGGTCTCGTGAATGTGGCCCCCATTCCTCTTCCTCCGCTAACACTATCATGCTTTCATTCCCAAACTTACGTGAATTGTTTTATGTGGTGGTTGGGAACTGAAGTAGCCAGGAGGCTTCACCCAGCAGAGTTGTTGCCAAAGCTACTGTACAGTGTTTTATTGGGTGAAGGACAGGATCCACTGAGAATCAACCATCAGGAATATTTACTGCACAAGCCCCTTGGAGGCACTGGGCAGTGGGAATGATGTTTTTGCCCACTGGCCATTCCAGGGTTATACATGATACCATTGTGATAGCCTGTCATCATGTTGACCAGTGTGTGTGGGATATTTTTGGACTGGGAGCAGCAAAATCAAAATGCCTTACACTACAAGACTATTGTTCTCCCATCCATGAGTTCTGATTCCTTCATAGTGCCTCCCACGTGCATTTATTCTTTTAAGAATAAAGGGGGCGGAAATAAATTTGCTGCTCCTCCACCCCACAGAAGTGGAACTCTCATGGCCTTCAGGAAGGGTGTGAAATCCTGGCTATGCCAGAAGGCCTGGGGGCTGGATGGGGGTTCCCATCAGTGGAAGTGGCTTGTGGGGTAATTGACCTCCCCCCCCGGTCATCTTGAACATTTTTTAGTATTTATGTATAGGGTTGTTTTTAATAGTCTGATTTTA